AATTAATTAATTATATATTTATTTTTAATTGTTAAGTTTTAATTCCATTGTATGTATATAATTTACATATAACATATTATTTAATATTATAAAACCGAAAACCGAAAATTTTTATATTGATTTAATTAATTGAACTTTATAACAGTCACTTTCTTTATTACCAAACTTTCACAGCAAATTTATAAAAAACTTCAAGCTAGAACACACAAGTCAAGTACAACTTAAGGTAAATTGTCTAATGAACGCTGATTCTGAGCTTCAAATTTGACAGGGTACGAGTACAATTCTTGGTACTTGGAATCTCAAAAAATTATTTACGAATAATTAAATACAAGAAATCTGCAGGAATGCCGACAAAGAGGACGGTCAGCTGACACATGGCGCAAGCAACTTGGTCGCGAAGTTGCAAGGACTGATAAAACGTGGGAAGAAATGAACGCGATTCCAACAGAACGAAACAGAAAAAGCTAATTATAGCTCTTTGGTCGTACATATATGGAACTAGTACATATATAAAATATAAGAAATAATTTCAAATAACTATGGGTAGTTAGCTATATTCGAAAGTGCTATGTGGTCAGCCAACATTTCAATTAATTAAAAATATATAAAAAGAATTTTTGGTGTTATAGTTTACTACTCTTCGAAACCTCTCTACCAAATACAATAGTTTCTATTAAGCAAAATCGTCACTTCCGGTATAACTGACAACTAAAAAATATATATTATAATACATAATATTTTAAATACATGTTTTATATCTTTATATTAATGTTAGTTGACATTTCAATGAATTCAACTAAGCCAGAAGATGAACCACCTCTACGAGACTTTAAATTTTTCCTTTTCGACTATCTGCATTTAATGTGGGAAACGGAATATTAAAATATATTCGCCAAAAGGTGTATAGCTCAATGAAAGATACCATATAAAATACATAAAAGTACATATAAATTTTTGAATATTTACAACAAATCCAAAATTGGTTTAGTGTTTTATATCTATCTTGCAGTATTGAATCTTATCGATTCTTAATAAATTTGTGTAATCAGTAACTAACATTCAGATTGACAAGTGCTAACTTCTTTCGTTTATTTTTAAAAGTGTTAATAAACCAATGCGACGAAGATCGGGAACAATTTCAATTCAGTATGAGTTATTACAATTTCATTGAATATTGTGAATTATTATTTATTCCGATATCTTAGAACTAAGCAGAAGGAACTAGAACAGTTCACCAGAAACTCTATTTTTGGTGTGTTTTTAAATGGTTTAACACAAACAATTTTTTAACAGTTTTTTAAGAGGTGTAAAGATCTATTAAATCGTTTTAAATATTAGTCAATCTTGAATTTTATGTTCTACATGAATGTGGCCAATTAAAAATAAATTCCAAATAACGTTGTTGAACAAGAATGTTCATTAACAATCTTTATGTCCCTTACCACTGGTGGGGGGAAACAATAAATGATTGGTGAGACGTTGATTTACTTTCAACAACTGATTTTATTTAAATTTATTTGTTCTTTTATACAAAATAAAATGCAACCGTAATTGCAGAACATACAATAAATAAAATAACTTATTGCTTAATTCGCACAAATTGCTTAATAAGCAATAGTTGCGAATGCTTTACTTATGACCTAATTTTTACTTTTTGTTGATTCGTCAACCAAGAAATTAAGCAACAGGTGTGAGCGATTAACTCATGACCTAGTTCTTAATTTTTTGTTGATTCGTCAACATTATGCCGGCTCTGCGTTGGTATTACGAGTTGGTCTAGATTTGTTAGCCTCAGCAGGTTGTTGTTTATGTGCAAGACCAAGCGACATCGTAAGTGGACGGTGATGTATGATTATTGGCTGATGTTGATAATGTAGTTCCTAATGTGAGATATGCCAACAATATAGCAAGAACTGTCGATTTTGATTGCCTAGCTGCTAACCATTGTCGTCGCGTTCTAGGATCTCCTACAGTAGAATTTGTCGGAACTACTTCTTTATTTCTGACAAGGTTTCCCAATGGTAACATGTCTTGAATGTCTGAATCTGCTTTGGTTGTTGCCGTCTCTGAGTTGGTTTCTGTAAAGTTAAGACTATCATGCGCTGGAGTCATCATAATACTGTTCAGTGATTGTCCTGATGTTGTTTTTGCGGACGCGTCAAACATCACTCGAAGTTTTGTTGTCGTGCTGTCTTCTTTAATAACTGCATGATGCGGCAAATAATATACCTTCCTCTTTGGTTTTTCATTAACTTCTTTCATGTGACCCAGCTTAATGTCTTCTTGCATAAAGTTCACATACTCTTGCTTTAGTGTTGGATTCTTTTTAAATCGTTGTTCCAATGAAAAGAACCGTTTTAATGCCATCTTTCTGGATTCACCTAACGTTTCTCGATCATTTTTCAGTGGTAACCTAACGATGTATCGTCCTGTTTTATCGCGGGTGCAAGTTGAATCATAATGTCGCTCACAACGCCTTTCTTCTACTGTTCTTAAGTCTGCATTTGGAATTTCCTCTAATTCCCAAAACCGTTTTAAATACTCGTCGCTGCTTTCGCAAGCCATGGAGCATAACATTATTTTGTTTGTGATTGTACGCTCTACATCTAAAGGTCCTGATAATATCCATCCAAATAGGTGTTTTGAGCCATTGGAGAGTTGTCTGGCCCTTTAATTAATCCTTCTTTAAACACTTCTGGTAATACGTCCGACCCGATTAACAATTGTATTTCCTTTGGTTCAGCATACCAAGGATCTGCTAACTGCAATCCATCAATATGTGACCATTTTCCTGGCGTGAATTCTGCATTTGGCATTTTTGATGTGATTTTTGGTAACACTATTGCTTCGATATGACAGCTTTTATTTTCATCATGTATAGATTGAATTTCTAATGAACATTTGGCTATAACGCTTGTTGTTTGTACATTGATACCTTTTACATGAGTTTGATAATTGGTCAATGGTGCTCTGATTGATCTTGCTAATTGTTCTGTTATTATACAAGATTGTGATCCTTGATCAAGAAGCGCTCGTATCGGATTAACTTGTTTTTTAGTCCTTATAATTACCATTGCGGTTGCTAGTAAAACAGTTTTTTCCTTTTGGATGTTGTACGACGCTGCCACTTCGGTCTCTGTGGTGTTCTTCAATGTTGGCATCCTCTGTTTACTTATGTTATTTGTGACTGTTGGTTTGCCCTTAACTTGTTCATGAATAAGTTGATGGTGTTTTTGTCGCAAATTGCACATCTTTTTTTATTCAAGCACAACTTACTAAAATGCCCACTCTGAAGGCAATTAAAACATAATTTGGCGCTCATAATCTTTTCACGACGTTCCGGCACCTTCATATTCAGAAACTTTGAACATCGAATTAATTGGTGGTCACCATTACACACTAAACATAGCGTATGTATTGTATTTACATGCGTTTTTGTATTTACTGCTGTTGGTCGAAAATTATTCTTATTTTCGCGATTTGTGTCACGACTTGCCTCCAATCCTCTAACTCTGCTCTCGATAAACTCGTATAAGCTGCTCAATTTTGGTATTTGTGTTGATGCCCCTCTTGAATGTTGGTATAATTTTCTGGTTTCACCATCTAATTTTGGAAGCAGTATCTGTATAATTAGTGGATCCCAACTTGACGTGTCCACATTTAAATTACGTATACCATATAACACTTCACTAGAAGAATCCACTATTGTTTTTAAATCCTGTGCATTCTCATTTCTTATAGCTCTGAGCGACAATAACTTATTGATAAGATTGTCCACAAGTATTGCTGGATTGTTGTATCTTTGTTTCAATAGTTCAACTGCCGCTGTATAATTGTTCGCTGTTATTGTTAAATGATTGATAAGTCTGGCGGCTTCTCCACGTAGACTTCCTTTTAAGTACTGCATCCTTTCTACATCCACTAGATTATGGTTTTGTTGAACTAACCGGTCGAACAATTCCCAAAATGGACACCACTCTTCAAATCTGCCGCTGAATATTGGTACATTCAACGGTGGTAGTTTGATATTGTTACTTACGGTTGTTCTAGTTTCTGAAACGTTTTGACTGCGAACGTTCAGTTCTTCTTGTAACTGGATATATACTTCTTCGTATATCGATTCCAGTTGAATGAAATCTCCTTGGTCTATTTCATCATTGTTAAACAGACATTCATCGTTTAATTGTGAGATCTTTGCCCAACAATTCTTCAATTTTTCCAATTTGAACTGTAACGTTTCAATACTTTTCGTTAAGTCTATTGTCTCTTTGATCTGCAACAGACTTCTACTTAAGATTGCTAAACGTTTGTTCGTAATATCACATGGCCCGGTGATGGTGACTTCGTCATTGATACTTATGTCTTGATTCCTTAGTGACCGAGCTTCTTCTTGCCCTCTTATAACTTGATGCCTTGATACTTGAGCTTCCTTTTGCTCCATTTGCCTTATTATTTCCAATTCATTATTAAATCGATTTTCTATTTCATTCCGTCTTTGTTGTAACTGGCCATAGTAATTTTTTGTGATATATTCATGATCAGGCTTCAAATTCTTGATCAGATTATCATTGTTGTCTTCAAATGCGTCCCATTTCTGACGCAAATTTTCCAAACGTGTCTCAAAATACTGCTTTGAATATCTTGTAGAAGAATCCTTTTTAAAATTTATCCAGATCCTCTGGATCTCACCTTCAATGTCCTTTTGATGTTGGATAACTTGATCTATCTCTTCGATCTCCATGATGTCCTCTGTTAGTATTTGATTTGATTTGTTGAGCGCCTTGGTACGCTTCTGCTTGTTTCACTTCGATGGTACGTTTGCATTCACTTCACTCCGATGTTAAAAGCCTCGGTACGCTTGTATTAACTTCACTCCGATGTTAAAAGCCTCAGTACGCTTGTATTAACTTCACTCCGATGTTAAAAGCCTCGGTACGCTTGTATTAACTACACTCCGATGTTAAAAGCCTCGGTACGCTTGTATTAACTTCACTCCGATGTTAAAAGCCTCGGTACGCTTGTATTAACTTCACTCCGATATTAAAAGCCTCGGTACGCTTGTATTAACTTCACTCAGATGTTAAAAACCTCGGTACGTTTGTATTAAATTCAATCTTAGACTTTAAGTCTCTTTGTTAGGTATATTTGAAACTCTTACCACTGGTGGGGGAAATTTCAAATATCCGGCTCGAAGGACCAAAAATGAACAAGAATGTTCATTAACAATCTTTATGTCCCTTACCACTGGTGGGGGGAAACAATAAAAGATTGGTGAGACGTTGATTTACTTTCAACAACTGATTTTATTTAAATTGATTTGTTCTTTTATACAAAATAAAATGCAACCGTAATTGCAAAACATACAATAAATAAAATAACTTATTGCTTAATTCGCACAAATTGCTTAATAAGCAATAGTTGCGAATGCTTTACTTATGACCTAATTTTTACTTTTTGTTGATTCGTCAACCAAGAAATTAAGCAACAGGTGTGAGCGATTAACTCATGACCTAGTTCTTAATTTTTTGTTGATTCGTCAACATTATGTGTGTATTAATAGATAACATATCCTTTATTCTTACGTATCCTCTGTTAATTAGAGAGTGATAAAAAAAGTTCTGCAGAGTGTATTTTAAAGCTATCAGCTTTTTTTATAACACAAATACATGTGTTTATAGCCAAATTATATGTGGTCAATTACATGTAATTGCAAGGTTGACAATTTATTAATGTTTTGTTCAAATTTGAGGATATTTCCATGAATGAAACCAGAGTTACTTTGGGTATTACATTTAGTAGTTGAAATGCAGTCACCATCACAAGCTAATTTACGATCCTGATAAACATTTTCTATTTGTTTTGCAGCTAAATATGATGACGGTGTTTTTCCCTCACGTGCGATATGAGTAATTTTAATTGTAGTTCTAAATTGTGGGACCTATTTGCCATCAGAGAAATATCGGAGAATATCTTTCAAAGAAGATTTTATATAGAATGGAAACTTAAATGAGCACGACACAAAATAACATATACACTCTCAGAAATTCCACAAATACCATCTCAAAACGTACGATTATTTCCAACTTTACCATCTATAGGCAAGTATCCAATATGTTTTGATTTCTTGACAAAAAAACAGGATTGCACTGCATTAAATTTAAAAAAAATTACCGCGCAAATGATTACAAAAAAGATAATAAAGCTGATAATAAGTAAATAATAATAATGCAAGTAATTAATAAACAAGTGGTTTAAGGATAATAAACCAGAAACCTAAAGGTGGCGAAGTTGGAAATCGTGTGTTTTAAATGGTATTTGAGGGATTTATGATGGTATTTAAGTTTAAGGATAATAAACCAGAAACCTAAAGATGGCGAAGTTGGAAATCGTGTGTTTTAAATGGTATTTAAGGGATTTATGATGGTATTTAAGTTTCCATTACATTCCATAAAATCTTCTTTGACTGATAGTTTCAGAGTGATGTAGAAATTTATATCATTTTCAGGAATTTCAGAAAGGACCCAGCAACCAAGAAAACTAAATACTGTTATGAAGAATGACTTGTACAACTGAGCACCTTTTTTTTTTTTTTTTTTTAAATTTTATTTTGATTTTTATTGAATCTTCTAAAAATCAACTTAGAACTAACAATAAATTTTCGCTGCTAATTGCTGTATTAAAATATTTGAAAAAAGAAAAGTAGATAATTAATTGTCCTTAGCCAAAGCTTCGTCCAATTTCGTTACCATGTCGGGCGTTATTCTTGAATAGCCGGGTTTATGTAGTTTTTTTTGAGTCGCTGTGTACCAGCGCTTTGGGTAAGGTTGCTTGCAAGTGGATTTTGATGGTTCCTGAGTTTGATTTTGTACTTTTGTGTGTTGCTGGTAATTACATCTGTGACTGTGTCAATTCGAAGATCTCTATGAATATTTGCGTTTTTTATATACCAGGGGGCACCGACTATTTGCCGGAGGATTTTTGATTGAGTTCTTTGAAGTTTTTCAATGTTTGATGGAGAAGCAGAGCTCCAGAGTTCAATTCCGTAGGTCCATATGGGTTTCATCATTGTGTTGTAAAGTTGCACTTTATAGGTGAGATTAAGTTTAGAGTTTTTATTTATCAGCCAGTTTAGTTCTTGTTGTTTGAGTTTAATTTGGGTTACTTTGGTTTCTATATGCTTTTTCCACGTAAGCCTTCGGTCGAGGTGCATTCCTAAGTATTTGGTTTCATTGCATTGTGGTATTACTTTTCCATTAATACGAAGGGCAGGGCAGGTATCTCGTCGTAGAGTGAAGGTTATGTGTACACTTTTCGATTCGTTAACTTTTATTCTCCAGAGATCGAGCCATTTTTGCAGTTTGTTGAGGTGGTCTTGAACTGATTTTGTGGCTGTGAATGGGTCGTCACTATGGCTGAGAATGGCAGTGTCATCCGCAAATGTTGATGTTGTTGTACAGTCACTGGTTGGCATGTCTGCTGTGAAAATCAGGTACAGCAAGGGGCCCAGAACACTACCTTGGGGTACACCTGCCATGATGGGGAAGGCATTGGAGACAAAAGAATTT